ATGAAGCTTAGATAAAGGTATAAAAGATATAGGGATTAAAAAATGTAAGCTTGTAGCAAGTATTCAATTCCTATCATTTTATAGATTTTAACTTTAAAGTAAAGAAGCAAAAAATTCCTTCCCCTTAGTTACTAATAGTGTTAATAGTGTCCTAAGACAGTTTGACCCCACACGATTTAAATTCTTGAACTTTTAGCTCTGCATTAAGCAATGACAATAAATATTCAGATATTTAAGATCTTGTTTCTAAATTAAACCAGGTGTGTTAGCACAAATCTAATCCTGGTGGAAAGATGAAATGATGAATGAATAAATGAATCTCAGCTCTCGATTGCCCCCTGGGGGGTCTTTGTATTTGCAAGTATAATTCACCCCTGTATATCATTTGTTTCAATACCCTCAATACTCCATAAATCTTAACCATTTGTAAATATTAGAATTTATAATTCTCTACTCTCTACTCTCTACTCTCTACTCTCTACTCTCTACTCTCTACTCTCTACTCTCTACTCTCTACTCTCTACTCTCTACTCTCTACTCTCTACTCTCTACTCTCTACTCTCTACTCTCTACTCAACTCAATTGGAATAAATCTATCCCTATTAAGCATTACATAACTGCTTAATTTTTTGCATCGGATCAACTACCTAGCTCGTAAATGTCAGATCTGGTTTAACTAACTTACTTCTAAAATACCTGCTATAGATAAATAAACTAATGTTTGAAATTACACCATCAGGATTCAAAGAATCAGAAAATTTGAGTTTAAGACATGAGATCAGTTCTTTTAGTAAATCATAAAACAGAGACGAAATGGTGTGAATATTTAAAAAGATTTTAAATCTAGCGGATTTTTAGAATTTTTAGGATTATATTGTATAATTCTAGGACAGGAAACATTAGCATATTTTCCTTAGAACAGCTGTTCTGGAAAATACAGTGCATCAGAGAATACTAGACATACTGGAGATTTCTCATATAATTCTTTACAGCACTAAATTCATGCCGGAGAGGAGACAGGTTTTTTATCAATCTGAGATAATATTCTTAACGCAATGGCAAATGGCGACTTTGTAAACTGATATTTTTTATTTCGAAAAACTTAATTTATGTAAACCACGCATAAAACTCAAATAAATACTTGCACAGTTACTTACAAAGATGAGCATTTATGTATACTGCTTAAACATAATACTGTTTACTAAGTTTCCGAACTGTCTATGTTGATGTAATCATGTTTCTAGAAGTATACGTTCTTATAGAATTAACATTTAAACCAGCAAAATCATCACCACGTAACCCCACCCTTCGCTGGGTGGGAGGAGGTGGGGGGGGGGAAGGCAAAGGGTTAAATGGTTGAGGTTGAGGAGAAGGAGGAGGGGG